CCCCTAAGAACCCTCCTAAGACCCTCCAAACCCCCTAAGGCCACAATAGGACCTTCCAAACACCATAAGAACCCCTCAAAGACCCCATAAGGACCCTCCAAATCCTGTAAGAACCCTCCAAAGACCCCGTAAGGACCCTCTAAACCCCGTAAGAACCCCCCAAACCCCCTCCAAACCCCCTAAGAACCCCCCCAAAGCCTCCCTGGAGCCCCCACGGACCTGGGAGATGTTGATCTTGGAGCCTTTGGCCCCGGACACCACCATGGACTTGAAGTTGTTGTACTCAGAGAGGGACTTCTGGGCCGAGGAGCCCGTCTTGTCGCGAGCGTCGTTAAGGATCCTGTTGACCTGGTTCTCGAAGGTCTGGCGCAGGGTGTTCCCCGGGGTGGGCTCCAGCTCGTTGTTGTGGGCCTTCTCGATCACCTGCACCCAGGGGCACCCCACTGCGGTCAATGGGGCGCCCAAAACTCAACATGGGTGCCCAAAACTCAACAGGGGCACCCAAAACTCAACAGGGGCACCCAAAACTCAACAGGGGCACCCAAAACTCAACATGGGCACCCAAAAACTCAACAGGGGTACCCAAAAACTCAACAGGGGCACCCAAAAACTCAACAGGGGCACCCAAAATTCAAGGGGAGTGCCCAAAACTCAATGGGGGCAACCATAGCGTGAAGAAAGGGGTGAAAAGCACCCATACAGGGGCCTAAAGTGACCCAGGAGCACCCCAAAACCTTCATGGTATCCCTATGGGTGCCCCAAAGGGAGCCAGGAGCAGCCCAAAGCCATGTCCCCACCTCGATGACATCCTGCTTGGCCTTCTTGATGGTGTTCTGGATGTCCTGGTAGGTCTTGGCGTCAGCAATGGAGTCCCCAATGCCGATGGTGTGACCTGCATGGGGATGGGAATGGGTGTCCATGGGTGCTCCTCACCCCTGCGAGACCCCAGGACCAACCACGGCCGTGTTGTCCTCAAGCCAGGGGAGATATTGGGGCTGTGGAGCTAAAAGTGGGGTCCAAGAGGACCCCAAAGACCTCCAGGTCCCTGTTGTCCACCTAAAATGAGGTCTAAGACCCTCAGGTCCATGTTGTCCACCCCAAATGAGCTCCAAGACCCCCTTCTAAAGCCCTCCAGCTCCATATTGTCCACCTAAAACGAGGTCCAAGACCCCCATGTCCACATTGTCCACCTAAAACGGGTCCAAGACCCCCTCTAGAGCCCTCCATGTCCATGTTGTCCACCTAAAAAGGGGTCCCAGCTCCCCCTCGTCCATGTTGTCCACCCAAAATGAGGTCCAAAGACCTCCAGGTCCATGTTATCCACCTAAAATGGGTCGAAGAACCCCTCCAAAGCCCCCCATGGCCACGTTGTCCACCCAGAACGGGGTCCACCATCCCCCATGGCCACGTTGTCCACCCAGAACGGGGTCCACCGCCCCCCATGGCCAGGCTGTGCCCGCTGACCCTCGATGAGCAGCCAGTTGTTGATGACGGTCTGGATGTTGCTGTAGAAGAGGCGGGTGGTGTCGTGGCCCATCTCCAGGTAGGAGATGTGCACCAGGGACCCGGCCGACGTGCCCAGGGACTTCTTGCACAGGATGCCCATGATGAGCTCCCCGTTCTCCACGATCACCTGCAGGGACACACAGCAGCCAGGGCTGGCGCCCAGCACCCAAAGCACCTCCCCTCCGGGTGCCACCAAACTCCCTTTAGATCCCACCAAACCACCTTTAGGTGCCACCAAATCACCTTTAGATCCCATCAAACCACCTTTAGGTGCCACTAAACCACTTTTAGATGCCATTAAACCCCATTTAGGTGTCACGAACGCCCATCAGAATGCCCCAAACCACC